TAACAAATTAAAGAATTCTTACAGATTAATTATGCAATAATGGAATATGTTTATGTGAGAGAGATTGGAAAGAAACAGTAACACGGACTGTGCATGAGATCGCATGAACATTGAACGGTATTTGTATATTCTTTTCGTGTGATATACAGCTAATGGAGAGAGAGAGAGAGAGAGAGAGAGAGAGAGAGAGAGAGAGAGAGAGAGAGAGAGAGAGAGAGAGAGAGAGAGAGAGAGAGAGAGAGAGAGAGAGAGAGAGAGATTTGTTCAGTTAAATCAGGCCTACACATCAAATTAGATTAGTGGTTCCCAAACTTTTTGGGATCCGCCGTCTCCTTGGTTTATCATCTGCCCTCCCCCACCTTGCTTATCCCGTAAAAAGCATAATTAGGTTTTCGTTAGTGAAATGAGCATAGCAGTAGGAAAAATGCTTTAAAATATGATGTATGGTATTCATGATATATGTGAACGTGATTAGTAAGAACTGCAAGTATTTAGAGGGGATTAAATGGAGACATTGCCAGTAGATTGCATATTATATTGCATACGTGTCTTGAATAGTTATTGAGAAATAATCGATTGAGTAGTGTCACATGGAGGTGTATTTAAGGAGAGAACTGATCAAATAATTATTTCCAGTTCTGGATTCATTCCTATTTTGGATTATTATTTTTGATGTTAATGCATTAGTCTGCAGATGTGTTTAATGATGGGTTTTAATATTATTCTAGAGGAAACATTTGTTAAGATTGTTTATTTTAAATATATTTTGGGGACTATGGTGAATTAATCAAAGGAATTCCGGACAACGCCATTGTGATATATCAGGATTGGTGGCAGAGCAGTACATTTGAAACTTTAGAATTAATTAGATCATTATTTTGCTTAAAATCTTTTATTTTAAAACAACCTCTCTATTTTGGATTCAATTCATAATACAGAAAGATGCTCCTAAGTATTCAATTTATAACGTTGATAAATTATTTTTTATGTTTATGAACATTTTTAGGTTGTGCTTCTTTCTTTCATTAAGTTTAAGAATGATATCAATTATAGATTTAGTAAAAGATACATGAAACGTTAAAATATCTCAAATCAAACAAAGCCAGGAAAGAAAAAAATTAAGAATCGTCATAAATTCTGCAGAACAAAAATGATGGGGATAAAAAGAAAGGTCTGAATTTGATGTGAATAATACAAAAAGGATCAAAGAGAAAATTAAATGCAAGAAGAGAGTTCATACTATTTTCTGGAATTTCGACTATAAACCTGACCACTCATGCTAGAAAGTCATCGCTCAGCACACAGTAAGAGGAAAACCGAGGGAACAATTGTAAGCCTGACAATCTTCACTCGAACATAGTTTTAAATTTATGAGTAAACGTCAAAGTCATTTCAGAGAAACCAACATCATATTGAAAAATGTATCAAGCGAGATAGCAGTACTTAAGAAAAAATAACAAAACCCTGAATGAGAAAGTTTTTGTCTTACATAACCTGAATTTTATAGGTATCAAGGCAACTGAAAAGGTAGAAAACCACCACAAATTCATCGGGATTTGTGAAACAACAGTTTAGAAAAATAAAAATTTAATGTTATATTGAATGTAAGAGGACTAATACAAGACACGAAAACGCAATTCCAAGGTCCAAAATAACCTGGATGGCGCACGAGAATCCGGCTTAATTATAATGTAATAAAATTAAGGAGATGCACATTTAGTTTAAGCAGTTTGTAGGTTTGTGTGATTAATTGTTTGATTATTTGTATTCGGTGCAATGGGAAATATTCCTTAGCACGAAATAATTAGTCAGTTATTATAAGCAAACGTCACGGAGAGAAATTGTTAGTGAGTTTCCAAGATGCCATGGTCAATGAGTAGCAAACTGAGACCTAATCCACATGAGTGAGCCTAGGGTGATGTAGTACTTTATAAAATCTAGTGGGTTACATTGGCGTTGTGACTGCAGTGGCAGTATTTACGACAGGGAATCGGTAAATTGCACAATGAAATAAACGAGAAAGGACTCGGAAGATACCGTTTATGTTGCCATAGTGGCAAATATGATGTAGGTTTACTGGTGTGATGTGCCTTGAAAGGGTATATAGACTGGCCTTAGGTGGGCAGTTAAAATAGTCCCCGGTGTTAGGGATAGTTGTAGAGTTTATACGGTGTGAACTACTAGCGGAACGGAAAGTTAATGTAGAGAAACTGTGAGGATGTGCGGTTGATGGTTAATTGGCAAGTTGTAAATAATGTGATTTTGCATTGATTATTGTAAAATTTATGTATAGAATGGACACGTCGCGCTTTCCAACTTACAACTGAAGTTGTATAGAAGTCTTTGAAAATATGGGATACACTTATGACTTCTAGCGGGATTCGAGCCAGGGTTTTGACACTGCTCGGTCACGCAAAAGACCTCTGGCTTGTAGCAATAATAATAATAATAATAATAATAATAATAATAATAATAATAATAATAATAATAATAATAATAATAATAATAATCCACAGCAACACAGACTTTGACCAGATAATGGGTCGTGTAAATAGTAAAACTTTGGCCGGAAGATGATAACTGTCAATCCACTGACATGGAGTAAAATTTGAACATCTTCCGGTAGGAGATTAACTTCTATTACCCGACAAATCACCAAGAATGATCGTTGATCGACATTTATTACTGAATTTTGGATGACAAAATGATCTGACTGTTGTGAGACTTTAATGTAGCTTGATTTACTTTCCGTATGAAACATTTAATACAATTAGCGATGATTGAGTGTAACAATTAACTTTTGTATCTCACACTCTCCCTCCTTCTTGCCTAATGCCGTTCTAACACTGCAAGAGATTAATTTCGAACATGTTTCTTTCTTATTTATGTTATTATGTTTCTATTGGCTTCTTCAGGGTCATTGGCTACATTCGTAGATATATTTATCTCTTAAAAACAATAAGTTCTTGTGAAATTATAATTTCCTTTACGAGTGAATAATCAGTGTCTGGATAATGGGTGATTTGCTTTTACTACTACTACTGCTGCTGCTGCTGCGGCTACTACTACTACTACTACTGATGATGATGATGATGATGATAATGATGATGATGATGATGATGATGATGATGATAATAATAATAATAATAATAATAATAAATAATAATATTAATAATAATATTAATAATAATGATAATAATAATAAAAAGTACGAGGAAACGATTACAACGCAAAAAGAATTGATCCATCGAATATATTGCCTAGAAGGTAAAAACTTGTAAGTTATTGACAGAGGTAGACTTCTAAGAACCATGGTAGAAGATTAAATATACTCTAGTCTATCTCCAAGTAAAGTTATATAAAGCTGTCCTACACTATATTCCCTATTGATTGATTCTTTCTGCTCTCACTCTGGTTCGGTTTCTGATGGAAAAGAAAGAATATATTAATTGACTTTAATCGGTTTATCTCGCAATTGGTTTTATCCTTTGATTATGTGTGGTTGCTTCAGCATCGCATTAAGAATGATTTCTTTGAACCATCCACTACATAAGAATTTCTCTTCTACAATTATATTATTTATCTTTACTCCGCCAGTGTAGTTTAATTATACTGAATTAGGGATCTATTGAGACCGGCGTATGAATTTGGTTAGTATGGTGTTGAAAAAGTTTTAAAGTTCAAAAGAATAATTAGTATCGCTAGTGAAATGAAAGGCTATGGGGAATCCTTTAAGAGTTGGTAAAATACCAATAACGAATGTCCACTCCCACGTCAAAAACTAAAGATCACAGAGAGGAATTATTAAAGATCATGAAAACTTGCGAAGATGAGGGTTAAACGGTAAAAATTAAAATATTTGTACGTAGAGTTAATTCAGTATATACAGAAGCTGTATGTTTAGTAATCGAAGGAATAGAAGTAGCATTTATTATACTTTGGCGTAATCCGATTGCATGATTTGTTCTGCCAGTCATGTTTCGAGTTGGATTAAGTACTTCCGTTGGTATACAATTACGATGTAGGTCAAGTGCAAATGTTTATCAATAGGGATTTTGAAAACAATAATACATTCCTGTCTTAAAATGAATCTGTTTGAATCCTTTAGTGTTGTGTTGTGTCCCAGAGAAGTTGTTGACTTAAATTATTTTGGAATTGCAAAGCACTCTTTCGACTTAGGATTAATACATTATTTTGGAACCATTGCGAACTCAGTCAAAGACTTTGATGCATCATTGTTTTAAATCAGGACATTCCAGACTCTTGAAATTCATTCGGAATATTTTATATATTTGGATATGTGCTAGGACATGTAAGGTTATTTTGGATATAATTTCAAAATACTGTCTCTTACGTGTTCACTTTGTATTGTGTACAAATAACAAATAAATAATTCTTTGATCTGACTAAACTTAATTTCTCTAATTTATGTTAGATAACTGTAGTCCTAATGTCAAAACAGTAGTCACTCTAAAATTAAATTTCCTTAAATCTACAATCACAATATATTCAATTTCCAAAGATCACACAGATTTGTAAAATTAATATGCGTCAATTAAGAAAATGTGTCATTTTATGAATAAGGTTTTAATTTGTCTCAGTGTAAAATGTTCAGTTACCTGTTATAGATTTTTTAGTTAAGATTTGTAATTCAGCTATAGGAATAATTGTGGTATTAAAGTAAATAATTTTGGAAAGTAATTATTCGATGCAAGTATGTTGATAATAAGAAAAAACTGCATAATATCATATAGAGATTTCACTGAAAAAAATGGACTAATTTTGGCTGTCAGTGTGTGTGTATGACTTGTAATGTAGCTTTAACAATTTGTTAGGTCATGTCTCCACGAACTATGCAGTGTTGTTGTTTTTTAAGGATGGTAATCACTGGGCCAACTTGCCGCAGGTACGTAGCATGATGTACGGAGACCAGGCCTACAAGTCCTAACACTAACCTATAAATGCTGAGCGAGGAAGCTATTAGTGTCATTTTAAGTCTTTGTAGTATTCGTCCGGGGTTCAAACCCGCAACCTCTCGCATTCAAGGCGGACGCTCTAACTGCTAGGCTACCGAAGTGGTCACATATAAATGTATACATACATTCTGGAAAATTTAGATATCCTAAAAAAATTAAATTCATTCATTGTCCATAATACTAAATAATTTATTTCTTCAAAAATAAAATTGGGAATGAATTCGGATTAATATATTACTGAAACTCTGGCTTACCATTTACACTTATTACGTCTACAAATTTCAAATGGTTGTAACTAAAACGTTTATACAAATCAAACACGTAACATATAACCTGGAAATAAGCTGTATTGGTTATTTTGTGTTTGTGAAATTTTATGATCAGTTCAAAAACTACTGAATGGTGAGGTAATCTGCCTAAATATGTTGTCTGTATGGATACCAAAATTGCTTTTATTGAATAATGGGATAAAGGCAAATGAAGGAATTCATGCGTAGTAAAAAAAAATGCTAAGACCAGAAACTACAATTTGTACTAATAATTACATCACAGTAAAGTTAGGTCTAAAGGATGCAAATAAACTCCATTTTGTAGATAGAATGTAGCAAATAGATATAATAATAATAATAATAATAATAATAATAATAATAATAATAATAATAATAATAATAATAATAATAATAATAATAATAATAATAACGCAATGTTGAGTGTTAAGGTGAACTCGCCGAACAAATCTGCGTATGGGTCATAAACCTGAACCCGACTGAAATCTAGACATGACTGCATTGGATATGCTATTCGAGGAGTGGAGGTTCCGGGTTTACGGAACGACCAGGACTACTGAGTCGCGCCGTGTGGTTGAGGGGGAGCCGGTTGTCCATGACCATCAGGGCGTATGGAAGGTTGAAGGATGATCTACAGGTAAGGATGCCACCCATAAACCTGGACAGGTCTAAGCGTCCGTGGCATTTTGCAAGTAACTGTTCCAAGGACAGGCAGACCCAGGGGAATGGCGTCTCTAGGGCATGGTGTGAGATGGAGGCAAGCTGTAAACCACCAAACCTCGCTCGCGTCCGCAAATATTACAGAAGAAGGCGTAACCATTTGATATCACACTAACGAACGTGTTTTCTGAACTCCGGGACTTTCTCACAAATTCAATAATTCTGAGAATTATGCTCACTTATTAAACTTATTATAAAATATAAAACCAAAAAAAAGAATAATTTAGATCCATTGTAATAAGAACCCTAGCAATTACTACTCCTTATCTTTAGTCAATTTAGCCTTAGTTATAAGCATAAATAGTTAAATCATAACAATAATCATAACTATTTATAACATACATTTACTGTATGTGAATTTTAATTTTCCTTATAGTAACTATATATAATCTAATTAGTATTGATAACCATCTATAATACTACAACTAAGAACATAATGAGAATAAAATACCATAAAACATAATTTTCTTAAAAACCTAAATAGAAAACAAAATTGAACTAGATTAGAATTGAAATCTCGGCTTTTAACATCCAATCAAAACCGACGAGACAACAACCTTATAATTTTGAATCATCCAATATTACTAAATCAAAAATGCAAGAATAAAGAAGAAAGGATTCAGGACCTCATAGGAGGGAGGAGGGGAACCAACATCAAAAGAGACGCCTACAACAAACCATCAACAAGAACAAATCATAAATATCAAATAAAGGGATTCAATAAGCCTGTATCGGAACCCTAATAACCCATCCCCGCATACAAACATATACATAACTGCAAGCACCATACCTAGTCCATAACATAAAACAGGCGCTAGGACTCATACTAGCACAAGCCTGGGTGGATCCTGACTTCTATAAGCAATATATATAGGATAAGATTTCCCACCATGACAAGGACAAAAAGGTCAAGGCCGATAAGGGAAAATCAGGAACCTCCCCCCTGATAGCCCTAACTCCCAGGAGCGGAGTAGACCGATTAGCGATGGACAGTCCGGGCCGCGCGGCCAAAAGTCCGAAAATAAGCCTACAACCTATGTCTTCACTTTGGCCTAGAAAACCCAACATTAAAACGAGATCTTTTGGAAATGCAGTCAAAATTAAAAACCAAACATTGTCTAAGCGTTGATAAATGTCAAAATTAGGTGACATACACCTAGAGATTAATTTCTTTTTTTATAACCAAATATGTACGCTAAGTACACAAAATTCAACCTCATCAAAATATATTCCAAATTCATAACTCATGAACACTTGGATAATTGAATAGGTGGCTAACACATCATTGGTATAGGGACACCCGTAGGAAAAACTGGTCAAATTTGACAATAATCCACCTGAGATAAAGTTAGGTGACTGTAGATATTGGGGGGACTTTAGTAGGCGGGAGTTGAGGCGGAAAGCCGGTACGCTCTGTTACAATACGCAGTCAACCAAAGGGTCTTAAGGTCAGCCAATAAAGGTCAGCACCACGACCAAAAGCCCAGCCCTAGGGCTAAGCGCCTCCCTGGATAGCAACGTTATCGAAAGATAACATCCGGCTAAGGCGGTGAGCCACCAGGGGGGTTAATAGGCCCACGCGCCGGGGCAAAAGTGTCAGCACTGGACACTGGTGAGCCCGGCCCCGGAAGGGGGATGCCACTAGCCCTTTTCAGGGCTTAAAGTCATAAAACACGAAAGTGTATACATGACTATAATACATATGAACTGAACTGAACTGATATCACACTGGTTATAACGCCCTTGTCGACAAGAAGTTCGAGGACTACAAAGGGGAAGTAATTAAGGTCCACTCCCTGAACAGATAAAGTGACTCGTTCGTTGCCAGTGACAGCACGTTCTGTTGCTGCAGATTGGTTAGCAGAAAAGGCAATAAGGCAAATTTATCTACCTCCACCTAAAAAATTCAGTAGGCACATTTTGATGTCAGCACTTCCAATGAGGCTCATCATGAAAACATATTTTTTTTCCGCATGAAACTATTAAAACTGGTAGATGTCAATCATGCACATACAAATACGCGCTGACTGTCGTTGACGTTGCAAGAAGATATAAAGAAGCTGAGCCTCTATCAACTAAAACAGCAACTGAAGTTGTATCTGCGTTTGAACGAATTTATCAACGAGGACCGCGGACCACAAAGTGGTCTACAATGGTCACAGTTATTACAAGTTGATTCTGGCAAATAATGTATTATTGTAGTAACGTTGATGATGAAGAACATAACGTCAAAATCAGAAGAGGATACACCGCAATTCATTGTGATCAGGCAATCTTTGAGCGATTTAGTCGAACACTTGCTGAGCGATTGTTTGGATATCAGTATCCTTGAATAAAGTTCAAGAATTACAAGAGATCTCGTGAATGGGTTACAAGACTACCAAGTGTGATAGCTGCTTTAAATAACGAAATTACTCGTGGAACCTCTATGAAACCAATAAATGAGATCACAAAAGCATATATCAGTACAACTACGTGACTCTTTCTCAAAACAACCAGTACTAGGTAATGTGACTGTCAGATATTTATATGAACCTGGGTAAAAAAGGACCTACTGATCCAATCAATAGTGAAACGACATATAACATTTTCAGCGTTTTAAGATCTTCGGGTTGACCTACAATCTACAGACTAGATTCAACTGCTCCTCAGCGCAGATTTGTACTACGTGAACAATTACAAGTAATTTCTGAAGACACACAATTACTACCACCTTTACTTATGTGAACTGGCTCCTCGACTTCGATTACATTCAAGATAGGGTAGCATCACATTTTCAAGTGCGTGACCAAGACTACTATTAATTTAATCCACAGTGAATTGTTTTGGATTAGTGTTTGAATTCTGGTACAACATTACAGTTACGGCTCAAACAATGGTTATATCATTACAAGTGCAAGTAGCTTTATTATTATTTTCCGCGAAGTCTATAATTACCGTCCGCAGCTGATATATTCTTCTGACTCGATGCACTGTCAGAAAAATTAAATTTGACCATTCGATGCGATCATCAACAATCCAAATATTTGTATCGGAAAAAATAGTTAATTCCTGTGACGAATGAATCGTTATAGCATATCCTAGTATCCATGGAGATTTATCCATAATTAGCTCTCTTTCGACATCATTCACAGGAACCAAAACAATATTTAACACAAAATTTTGTTTCTCATTAATTGAAGGAATTTTAGCATCGATAATTTGCCGTCGCATATTTGCTGGATGATAACATAACGATACAGGTAGATTTGAAAATTATTCTTTATGTTACATGAAGAATTTCTGCTGAAGTAAATCACGAAGTAATTTCCAAAAGTTATCTCACGCATTATTTTCTATTTTATCTCGTCCGATTGTAGTCTGATTAATTGCTTAAACACTCTAAATTCTGGATTAAGCGCTAGGTAATAATCATTTATTTCCTCATTATAACAAATATAAACGTTTTGAATCATCCATGCGGAGATGATCTAACAAAAGGTGGCGATTAACCATGATATCCGCACGTAACAACAGAAGTTTTTAGAGTTAATAATCAATCAAGAAATATTTCAAAATATCTAGAAACATATATTTCATCCCAAATAATGATTATAGGAATGTATTTTTAACCCATTTTTTCAGGAGTCCATGTGTATTCTTTCCATCTGAAGAAACGGTGATATGTTTTAGATTTCACTCCACGTTCACTCATTTTTTTGGGCTTGCCGATGAGTTGGAATTAGCACAATCATTTACGAACATCTATTCACAAATAATTAAATCGCAAGCGTTGGTTTACCAGAACCACCACATCCACTTAGATAAACAATATTATGTCTAGCTTTGGCATCATATACCAATGATACTGATGACAGCGCTGATATTTATCTATATTTTGTGATATAGCTAAGTACCTTTCATCGCTTTATTGTCAATTCGCTCAATGATGTATCCGAACAAATCTTTTCCAAATCTGCATAATTTTGTTTACATAAATCGAATGTGTGGTAACTCTAACTGTGGTACCAAAAAATATGTTTATCATCGAAAATAAATTTATCGAAACATAAGCAAACATTGAAGATCTTAAATATTCTAAACTGTGG